TTAAAAATTCATAGTGGTTAAAACCTAAAAGTGGACTCATAATGAAATAATGCAAACAAACAAAAAATTATACACACACACACGCACACACACATATTACACATAACACGTATTACACATACATATACTATGGATACACCCACTATGTCCATACCCATGACTTTGTTATCCTGCTTTTGTTTCAACTCTAACAAACTTATCACAATCCGACCCAGAGTCAGAAACCAGCCCAAATTGTCTGTTCCCAGAAATTTTCCCCACCTTCCTTACATAGGAATTTCAGCTGCTGTGGCCACACAAACAGACAAAGAAAGAGGACAGTGCGGCTGAGCATGTTAAGAATGCTCTTTGAGGGTCAGGCCAAAGGCCAGGATGACAGTCCTGGCCAATTGCATGCAAACCGGGACAGAGAGGTTCCCAAGGGACCCTGGGTGGTGTGCTGGGCTGCTGAGTTCCATACCATACAAGGCCTGGATGCCTTCAATGTCGTCCCGATGCAGGCGAAAGGGGGACCGATAACCACTGTAAGAAGGAGCCATGAGTGCTGTCGGGTACCGAGAATGACCCAGGCCAAGCGCATGGCCAATCTCGTGGGCTGCTATGATGCGGAGGTTAATCCCACGGAAAGTCCCTTCTGTCCAGTACTCATCAGAATCAAAATGAACTGTTCCTAATTCTGGGATATCTGCATGGGCCAATACGTGACCTGAGAGAGAGAAAGGATTGAGTGTTAATTGTAATTTAGGCTTACACTTGTGAAATTTTGTTCTAAAGATGGGCCTGTCTTATCTTACTAATTCCTCTGCACAACACAGAGCCCCATTTCCTCCTCCTCCTCCTCCTCCTCCTCCTCCAGAAGCACCAGCCTTCCTATGAAGCAATGCTGCTTAAAGCATGGATGCCATCAAATGTGGCAGGAGGGACATACACATATGATATTTTAACCATCATCTGGTGCATTGCCTTCTAAATGGTTGAAGACTAAGATTAGTGCAAGCCTTATGTTACAGATTCAACGTGAAAATAAGCACATTATAGTTGTTTAAAATTTTTATAGAGAAAACAAGACTTAGGTTAAAAACTACACAAACAAGTTGAGTAGTACTTTCAAGAAGAGTCTATAACAGCTCTAACTTCTTTGCTTATAGCAGGGGAGTCAAACTCAAGGCCTGCGGGCTGGATGCTGCCCGCGGGGTGCTTAAATCTGGTCCGCGGGGCCAGCCTGGAAATATCAAAGGACTGCCCCGCAATGCCTCTGCCAGCCAAAATGCGCCATGGGGGGGGGGGCTGCATGTTGCCCATCCACAGCCTATTTTCAGCCTTCCTGGCTTCCTGCAGCACTCTGCAGGGCAAAAAATGGGCCACGCGGAGGCCTCATAGGGCTTTTATTTATAATGCATCTTGGAACTTAAGATGGTACAAACAGTTACTTATCACACTACTATATTATATCCCTTTTTGTTCTGTGAGATAAACATTTGCAAATACACGCAGTGAGTGCCATAGTTGAGGGGAAATCAAACCCAGGTGTCCCCAGTTGCAGTCCAGTTTCCAACCATACTTGCTTACAATACCCTACTTCTATCAATAAAGCAAAATCAAGCTTGTCATCTATCACATCCTTGCCAGCTGCTCCACCCAGTTTCTCATCCAAACTCCAGCCAGCTCCCCCTCCCTCTTCCCCAGCCCTGCTTCGGTCCATACCGGGCCCATCGAAGGACCGTGAGCAGGTCCAAGGATTAGAACCATGGAAGGACAGGCGGATGTCAGCACGGCCAGTCCGCACCTCCTGGAAAGTGAGCTGGGTCACATCACTCCAGTACTTGAATGCTGTCTGGATTGCAGTGCGTGTGGCAGGGATCCCCAAGTCTTTGCTGTAACTGTAGATCCTGTAAGTTAGGTGCTTCTTTTGCCAGCGACCTGTGGAAGGAGGCACAGAACCAGAGGGATCAATAACTGAGCTCTGGCTCACCTATAGTAACAAGGCAGGATGAAGGTTGGGAGAATCACAGCCTTTGAGTGAAT